GAGCCAAAGGGAGAATTTCTTCACTGCATGAGTCGAAGGGCTGTTTCCCCCAAGCCAACCTGAGGATCTGACATTGCATCCTCTGGGCTGCTCAGAACTGCAGCTAACAGCTCCCAAAACGCTGTGCCAGTGCTCCCCTGGACCCAGCACCATTGCTTACACCAGGACAAACTGATGCTGCAGCAAAACCATCCAGTGGACTCCACCAGAGGCAGGTTTGACATCCTGTTTGCACCCTACTCTTAAACCATGTCCATCTGATGGTGGAACAGCTGCTATTTTTGGCCCTGATCCTGACCTCCAGCCCAGCTGCACAGCTCAGGTAAGAAAGGAAGAAAAAAATGCAGCTTTCCAGCCTCCAGCCCTCTTCACTGTCCAGGCAACAGCAGCTCCAGGCTCCCCTGAGGACTTGAACCCTGAACCATAAACACCGAGGGCCGGGTCTGGCTCTATCCCACCTTCCATCAGCTGCCCCAGAGCGAGGTGTCTCAGTTAAAATGAAAACTAAGCAAACTTTCATTATGAATCTCAAAACCCACATAAAGATCACCTGCCTCACTTCTGACCCTGTTCAGACAGGTTGCTGTGGTGGAGTAGACCTACAAAAGAGGTGGGGGGACCACACGTGATGTGGACCAGCCTGGAGCCCCCCCTATGGACTGATTTTCAGTTTCATCTCAAAACCTGGCAGGGCTTGTGGTTTCAGACAGCTCTGATATGAAACCAGATGCTCTCCCTCAGGCTCTCACTGCCAAGGAAATGCATCTCAAGCTCAGAGTCTGCTTTCCAGCAACACTTTGCTCCACCACTTGCCTGCTGGCTGCTCTGAAAGGCACATCCCTGCCAGGGGGCTCATGCCCATGGATGGAGAAGGCGAGAATGGCTCTTACAGCCTTTCACTAATGAAACACCTTCGCAGCTCGAACTGCAGCGAACGTTCATCTGCCCATCAGGAGTGAATGAGCCATGAAGCCCTTTGCTAAAGCTGGTGTGGAAGTTGAGCAGCTTCCTGGACACTAACGAGTCTTTGGAGACTTCCTCGCAAACGTCACATTTCATTCTTTCTAAGGAAAGTAACGAGTTTTCCGGAAGCATCAGCTTTTTAGATTTAGCATCTTTTTCCATTCCCAGAGTCAGCTTTGGAAAAAACAACCAGAGGGAAAAAGTAAGTGCATTTTAAAAACCGCTGCCAGGTTTGCTCACACAAACAGCCCAGGCAAGAGCTGTCCACCTGAGGGGAAGTAAAAGAGGGCAGAGCTCAGGGTACCAAACGTGGCCAGCCTGGGAGAGGCCAGGCAGGGAGACGGCTGCTTTCTTTTGGAAGGGGCTGTGTGATGGGACAGCTGCTCCCTGCCTCCATCCATCCGCTCCCTCAGCAATACCCCCCTTGTACAGTACCTTCATCAGCAGTCACTGGTGGTACAGCCCCTTCACTCTACAGATGTGCTCTGCAGCACTCTCTAGGAGAAAGCAGTTTTGTGTTGACAGCAAATCCTGTACCTCTCACAGAGAAATTCAGGGTTTAAACCGCAGTGGAGCTGCAGTGAGCTGTGCTCAAGCAGGAGCTCATGACCATGGCTGAGCTGGTGCCCCGACACTGTGTTGCTGTTCTGGCAACCAGTGCCCACCTGCTTCACCCGACCACAGCCACCATCTGGAGACCAAACCATAAGGGATCACCTGCAGCAGGGTGTACCTGTGTCCAGAAGCCTCAGTGGTGAATCCAGACTCAGGTCTTTTCTTCCCGGGCAATGCAAGGGTGTCTCAGCGCCCAGCTCTGCACAGGGACACAGTGGAGGAGCTTTCACCCAGCCTCTGCTGGAAGCTGCACTCAGGTGGCCACCTCCGCCCAACAGCAGAGGGGAGGTCGCTGGGGCACAGGGAGGGCACAGAGCAGCTGCCCATGAGCCTGGGGGCGGTCACAGGAGGAGGATGAGCAGAACCCAAGTGACCGCAGCGTGCTGTGCATGGCACCTTCCCTGCTGTCAGGAGGTGACCAGGCTAGCGGTGTGCTCTTGGCATTGCTCTGGCAGCGGGGAACGAACGATGTGTCAGCTGCTGACAGGGCTAACACGGAGCACAAAGAGGAGCAGATTAGCAGGGAAGGGGCAAGTATATAATGTTGTGTCAGGAGGACAAGGTCAATAATGAGATTTAATTACATGGTATGGGCAACAACAGAAACCACTGCTTCCAGTAGGACCATGAACACCCCCCAGTAATGCCAGTCTGAAGAATCACACTTGAGATTCACAAGCAAAACCTATCCCAGCACAGATCACCCACAGCAGCAGCTCCCTTGGAGAGCTCCTGCCCAAACCACGTTTGATGGACGGTGCTGTCTTCAAGGCATGTCACACCTCAAAATAGAAAGACATGACTCAGCCAACACGGCGTCTGCCTTCAGAGCAGCCATTAACACCAGCTAAGCTCACAAAAGCAAGAAAGCAACTGAGAAAGAAAATCCGGAGAGGCCCCATGTCTGGGTGGGAGACCGGGTCAGCATTTGAAAGGCTGGACACAACCAAACCCAGAGTACTTTTGGCTCAGCTCTTTCCCAAACGCTTGGAGCAGAGGAGCTCTAATTTCTTGTGAAAACCAGAGTTCCCCTCTGTCAAACCCCCACCGAGGCTGGGCAGATGCTGGGGAGGGGTGCTGCTGCTGCCCACATCCCGGCTGCAAACCCATATGAAAGTGATTGATGAAAGGTCATTATGCCACGACAGCAGCAGTGCCCACCCCACATATCATGGGGCGGTGGGAGGGGGAATTTCGTATATCCCAGTGAGAGGGCACACAGGGTAAATGCCAAAGGTGCCACAGGCAGGTTTTACATCAAGGTCCTTGTCACCAGTGGAGCGAGACCATGCCCAACACAAGGAGCCCTGCTCTATGTTCACAGAGCTCCCGGAGGGAAACCAGCTGAACACAGAAAATGGAAGCTGCTCCAATGAGATGTGCAAGTTGGTACCTGGTGATGAGGAACAGTGGCCAGTTGTGTCCCCCACGGCCTTTCCAAAAAGTAGAGATAATTTTATTTTTGTAGCAAAAAAAGCAAGCGATGTTTCTGTCACACAACCCCCTGAACATGTTGTCCCATAAAGTACAGGAAACCAGTAAAACCATTGCTAGCTGCCCTGTGCCATCTCACCCAGGGCCAAGAAGTCTTCTCTCTCTGATTTGGGGCCATCCAGCCAGAACTATGGGCTATTCCAGAATGATGGACAGGCAACAGACAGTGAAGTCTCATAGCTCTGTCTCTTTAGGAAACAGGGCTAAAAGAACCAAAATATATGGCAAGCTATTTTGGGGTAAAAACATCATCACAGCTGATCTTCATAGCAGCCTTCCAATACTTGAGCATCTCACGGCTGGTGGGGAGAGGCTGCAGGGCAGAGCCATGCAGAGGCCACTGCCTCCTGCAAGCAGCAAGCCCAGGTCTTGCCAGAACAGCTTGAGGCTTTGAGGACTCAAATTAATGTTTGAGAGAAAGCTGTGCAGTTTAAACAGATTCATGTGACAGAGCAGAGGCTGGCCATGTATTTCACCAGACTGGCCCATGTTGTGTTCCACTGCAGATGTAGGACATACCTTTAGATGTTCAGTGGGACCCCAGCTGTAAAAGCTGAATTAATGTCTCATGAATTTGGGCCTTCCACAGAGTAACTCAGAAACTGGTTGAGGAAGCCTTGGGAGCCACATGCCCACCCCATGACCAAAGTACACACCTAAAAGTCTGTGTAATACTCAAGAGGTGAAGCCTGAAGGATTTTTTTTCTTTGTTCAGGTTTAGTCAAGAGACAGAAAAAAAACCTGCTGCTAAGCTGCACAGACACTCGTGGAGGGTGACAGCATCCCAGTGGGGTGAGCGAGCATAGTGCTTAGGCTTGGTGCCTTGGATGCAGCCAGAGGATGCTGCCAGGGGAAAATACTCAGCACGGCACAGCAGGGAGGAGGACTCAAACCTGCCTGTCGCACAGTTGGCTGACCTACGTTTTTTATGAAGCTCAGGCCCCGAGCACTCCCATTTTTGTTTCTTTTCTGAATGAGGCTGCTACACTCTCCTCATTACCGCCATTGCCATGTCACTGCTGCAGCCCTCAGAGCCCCCAAGGGACAGATGAGGCCCCAGGCCAAGGGGAGGGGAAGGCAGGCAGCCACACCACTGCACAAACAGCCAGTGCCAGAGCATGCACCACCCCAGCCACCCCAGGCTGCAACGAAATCCAGGGGCTGGACGCACGAGCACTGCCTGCCCGAGGGGGCTTGGAGCTGGAAGTGGGGAGCCCCAGCAATGCGGGGACAAGAGCAGGAGATGGCCGGGAGAGGCTCTGAGCAGGTGACTGTTCCTTGCAACTGGGAGTTGTTTCACACAGCGTGAAATGAATAAGCATGAGCTAGTGCTGAAACAGCCCCAAGTTAGTGATGTCACTCACTCACCCCATCTGGGCTGAGCAGCAGGCAGTGGCTGGCTGCGGGGCGTGCACGGGGGATGTGTGCAGGGAGCGTTTGGGGACCTCGAACGGCTGCCAGAGCAGTAACAATGTTAAAACTACCCACTCCTTCTCCAGGGGCACAGGCAAAGTCCCCACGCTCCTCCCTGGGACGGGCTCCAGGTAAACTCTGTGTTTCCCACCAGGATCCCCCTCGCTGGTGGGGTACAACTGGTGAAGCTTGCACAAATATTCCCTTCCTGCAGAGAAGCAGCATGTTCCTCCTCTCCAGCACCATCAGCGCCCCCTCTCCTAATTCCCCTGAGAAAGGAAATCAAACTGATCCCGTTCCACAGCTTTCCCGGGTCTTCCATCCACAGGGATGCAGCACTCACACACACCCCTCCAACCGCTAAGACATAAAGCACTCCCCAGTAAAAGCGCAGCACTGGGGACCAGCAGAGCAGCAGGTCCCCCTCAAAGGAGCAGAGAGGTGACAGGACAGAGGATGAGCACTGCATTTCCCCACTCACAGAGCCAGGAGCAACGCTCCCCCCAGGACTCTACCTGCTTCTTCAGGGCAGGCACTGGGGAGCCTGGCGAGTCACACGCAGTCCCGTCCAGCATGGGGGGGCAGAGCGGGGTCCCAGAGGAGCCATCGCAGGGTCTGCTCTGCCCGGTGAGGAGGTCGGTGGGTGTGAGGAGAGCACTGGGGCGGCTGCCGGGCTCTGCAGCACACTTCAAAGTCTGCAAAGCAAAAAGGGAAGCGCTGGAGTTATTTCAAGACAACTTCCTCTTTCACAGAGAAGTCCCTCAAAGAGAAAGCCGTCCCCGTATGGGTCGTGCTCGCCTGGCGCTCTCCCAAAGTGCAGGAGCAGGCGAAAGAGGGCTCAGCTCTGCCCTGCCTCTAATCCCCTGAAACCAGCCATGCAGGTCAGGCTCCTCTGGAACGAGCCAGGCCCGGGGCAGAGGCGGTGAGGCCTGGCACTGGCACAGCCTCCGCCACGCCACCGACCACCCCGCGCGGGGGCAGCTCCTCCGCTCTGCCGCCTCCCAGCCGAGGCAGAGAGTGCCGGAGGCTGCACACCCAGCACCTCGAAATAAACAGTGTTGCTACGAGAGACAAGGAGGAGTCTGTCCAAGAAAACACTTTTCCAGCTCTCCGTTCCAAGCGCGGCATTTTGTGCCTCTGCCAGCGCCTCCCGCCTGGAGCATCTCACACACATCTGCTTTTGCTCAATACCAGCGCTGCCCCTGCAGCTGCGCAGGGCAGCCCCTGCCTGCCTGCTGCCAGCACGGGGATGCAGCCTGGGCAGGGAATGCCCGGCCCCTTCTGGAATGTGTTCATGGAGAAATCTGCCATTGTGTTGACAGAGGTATTGGCTGCATGATGGTCGGAGCAGGTCTGGCTGTGCTCAGCTGGGCATCATGTTGTCATCACTCGTGACTCAGTGTCAGGAGTGCAGCTTATGGGATTAGCCCAAATGGGGCCCCAGGTGAGGCTGCTCAGGGCTTCTGAGGTGTATCCGTGCCCTGACACTCAGAGCTGAGACCCATTTGCACGTTGGCATAAGCCCAGGCTGGCACAGGGGAGGGATGGGTGAACAGAGCCAGCCCAAATCAGGAGATAAATGTTCATCCCTATGGGATGTGGGTACAGGGCTGGGGTGAGCCCACCAGCTGTGTCAGCTCAGCCTGCTGATGGAACTTGTGTGCATGCCCCACACTTCACTGTGCAAAGCACTCAGGAGAGCTCAACAGCATTGGTCACCTCCAGGTGGGGACTGACACAACCAGTGCCACCCCCGCCTATGGCCAGAGCCCTGCTAGGTCAGCGTAGCACCCAAGTGTTACCTAGAGCAGCACTTGAGGCTTTATTGGAGTAAGTGGGTTGAGGGGAGAAAGAACTCAGAGGAACCGTGAGAACTACAGTTGATACTGTATCACTTCCCATGTCCTTTTACATGAGAAAAAGCATTAGGTATAGTTACATACCTGGGCCCCAGATTTAAAAATAACCTACTTCCTTCCTGACTGGGAGAGAAAGGCAGGAGGAGGCAGTTTAACTGGCTGTCAGTGTTACTCGCATTCAATTCCCAGTCGTTGCACTGGTGCCAAGTTGCTGCGCTGAGCAGCATCCCCTTCCCCGAGCTCACCGCTCTGTGCAGCTGAGCAGCCGTCCCGCAGGCAGGAAGGCCCCGGGGAAACAGCAGCAGCACACAACAGCAGATGATAACATCCTCGTTTCCCCTGTCTTGTTTTCATTCATATTCGCTCCCATTCATGAAGGACAGGCTCACGTGTCCTGGCCCGGGTACAGAATCACTGCAGAGCCGGCAGCTCCGCTGGCCCCCAGACCAGCCCTGTGGACAGCATGGTTGTAGCATACATGTGGATCCTGTTTGCAAAAGCTTTGTCCCTGCTCACATCAGAATTAGGTTCTTCCACATGCCCAGGCTAAGGTTTTGGGCAGCACTGTTCAATAGCTTATTGTCCTGATGCCACGTTGTGTCTGTCCTTCCTCAGCAGGAGTTACCCAGCGTGCAGGAGCTCCTGCCATGGGCAGATTCTGTTTCCCGTGCAAATGCCAGAGGAAAGTGAGCTGTGAAAACAGTGCACTGGCAGGAGTCAGGGTATGAGCCCCAGGCAGTTGCACAGGAGGGGCAAAGCATGGCACTGGCTACATGGCACCCCTTTATCAGATGATGAGATCACTTGCTTGGGTGATGCTTCACAAGCATCTTTCAAGGCCAAGATCTCCCACATGCTGCTAGATATTTCACTCCTCACTTCTCAGCTGTCTGCTGCAGGTTCCAAACCTTCACACTCCCCCTTATTTTCACTAGAATTGGGCTCTTTCCCACTGCACAGCTACAGGAGGATGCCAGTGAGTTTCCTCAGCCAGTTCCTGTAGCACACACCCAGCACTCCCCTCACCACCATCATCTCTGAGATCCCAATTCAAAATTCATTTAGATAAAGAGCCATTCTGGAGACCTCCCCTCCTCCCAGCTCTGTGCACACCATCTCTTGTCACAGTGGCAGCTGGATTTCACCGCCAGCCCTCCTTTGTGTGTAAGGTCATACTCTCTTCTGGTAACGTGTAATGGGGAGGAAGGGGTTGCTTCTCCGTATTTTCTGTAATGAACTGCTATTTAGCAGCTGCTGTCATTAGAAACTGCAACACGTCTGACTGCCACGCCGAGAACAGGATGGGGAACTATCAAATCGCCCCAGATAACATCACACCTCTACCAACCTATGCAGGCAACAGCAAGAGGAAAAGCTAGGTATGACCCTGCACAAACAAAGGCTTCAGTCAGGAGACCAGAAAAAAGAAAAAAAAAAATTAAGTAGAGAGAGAACCCCTTGTGTGGCAAACAACACGGACCAGGTACAAAACAGCTCTTTGTCCCTGCAAACGCTGTCCTCTGTGATTTGCAGGTGTTACAGGAGCACCGTAAAGGGCTGTGCCGCACATTTCTGTGCATGGGTGGGATACACGGCAGTTCCAAACTGGTCTGAATCTCTCTCACGCAGAAGTCTGTCTCCCAAAATAAGTAGAAAGAGCTCACCTGAAGCACTAATTCAGGAGGGGCTTTCCAGCCCATAGCAGAACTGACTGCCCAGAAAGGGGCTTTCCTGCCATGGGAGCAGCACGCAGCCCTCTCTCCGCTCGAAATACTGCAGGCGCTGGCACCTGAGCCCGTGGCGGCCACAGCAGCTCCGTGCCCAGCAGCCGTGACTCCCCCACGCCGGCGGCCCTGGCTCCCTCCCGGCCGTCACACTCCGGCACCTCGCAGCTGCACGCCAGGCCCACGGCACCTCGCGGCCCCTCGCTCAGCATCAGTGGCGATGCCGGGGCTGGCAGCGAGCACAGCTGGCAGAGCTGGGGGCGGCTGCTTCTCCCCAGCGCAGCGCTGATGCTCGTTATCCCATTTTAGCCGCTGCTCCACAACCCACAAATGTCCAAAGGTTCCTGTTGAAGGGGAGCTGTGGACACCTCTCCTCTTGCCTTGGTTTCTATTTATGGATGCTTTAGTTTTCCCTGCTTTAATTTTCCATCGTTACGTGGCTGCTTTAATAACACACCTAGCAAGTCAACCGAGCCTCTGAGGCAAGCAAAAGTATTTGTGCAAAGAAGACGATGCTGTTTGAGCACTGCTCCTTCTAAACCACTCATCCCACAGGGAAACCTCTTCCAGGCAGAGGTCCAAATCCCTAATGCTTTAGTCAATGGACTATTTTCTTACAGTTTAGAAGGGAACAGGTCACAAACCAAGCAGTATTTTGATGTCACAACTCTATTTTCCACCCTGAAATTCAACCAAATTCTAGTTTTAATCCAGATTTAGCAAACAGAGAAGATGGGAGGATTTAGGTGGAGATGGAAGGCCAAGCAAACAGCCAGTTTGATGGTCTTTAAGTTGCCTTTTTCATTTCTCCAAACTAAGCCATCTCCAACACTTCTTTTTTATCTTGAAAAAAAATCCATGATAAGGAAATTGAAGAAAGCAGAAGATGATGATAATAATAATCATGGACTTTTCAAGTATGAGCAGCATCTCAGTATGTCCTGCAAAGGTGGAAATAATCATCTTCTTTGATAAGGACTGTAAGCTACCAGCAACAGGAAACACAACTGCTCACCTACAGGTTAATTACAGGTTTTAAAAATCCAAGCAAATTGATTGCAATAAGCATGAGCAAACAGCAGACAAGAAATCAGCAAGCTTTGCCTTTTCATCCCATCTAGAGACCAGCTCCCACTAGGGGCTGCAATTATATTTATGCTACCAACACAACCACCCAGCAGTGCAGGCGATGGAAAACGCACTGCCAGTTGAGGTTACCCACTTGTGAGCAGGAAACTTTGAAGCACCTTTAGAAAATGGGCCTGGTGCCGCGGTGGGGTGCTGCAGCCATCTCGTGCCGATGAGCTGGGCACGCCTGTGCTCTCGCGGGTTGTCAGTGCCTTGCCAGTGCCGAGGAAGAGATCAGCTGCTTGAAATGGTGAGAGATCAGTTTTTGTCTAAATCTTAAGTGCTGCATGCCCATGTGCCAAGGGCTATATGTTTCCACAGCCCACTGCTTACACGTCCCAGGAATTTTTTGCCAGAATTACGTCTCTCCCTTGGGTACCAAGGTGACAGTTTTGGAATGAGATCAAATCCTTCATCTTATCGCTTCTGCCAGTGATTACTTGCAACAGGAAACAGCTCTTTTTAATCACAGTTGCTCTGTTCCACTCGTTGAGCTGATAAGCTGAGTGGAGAAGCTGTTTCTACAGTTGTTTTTCAGAACGGACGAGCAGGCCTTTTGAAATGCTGCTTCGGCTCCAACCAGCTGTGTAAGGCAGAGGAAGGGGCAGGTTGTTGCTTAATCCCAAGGCTTGCTTCTTCAGAGAATCCTAGGACAGGACTGGACCCTGAAACCAGCCTCCAGTGCATGCCCAAGGCAGGACAACCATCCCCGCTCCCCCTGTGTGGCCATCCCTGCCTGTTAACACTGCCCAACCTGAACGTGTCTCACAACACCCACTATCATCAACCTTCTCCAGCTGAGTCCAAACATCTCCTGTCAGAGGCCATATTGTCCATTGTTTCTTAGTTCACAGAGGAAAGAGGGTGGACCTGGCTGTTTTATGCCAGTGGTGCTCCTCTTTACACTGGTAAAGCCTGACTTGTGACACCCAGGTTGGGTACAACAGCTCACAGCCAGCTTGTGACCCCCAGCATCACCACAGCTTTTCCAGCAGAGCTGCCACCTCCCCAGCTGCTCCCCGGCCCCCACCATGGAGCTGCCACTCCTGCTTGTTGTCCCTGATGAACAGCAACCCCTGGAGAGGTAAAAAAAAATCATGACAAGTGAAGCTTAAAAATTCCCCGGAGAAAAAACAGAATTTGGGAGGAATAGCTAAGGCATCTCTTCCTAGCACCCTACAATGTGATGATTGTGCCTTTACTCTTAAGTTATTTTCCCTGTATTTTCAGTCCACTCCATCTGCTGGCAGCCGAAATCCCTCTTCCCCTTGACTGTGGGAACACCCTAGCTGTCCTGGCGAGAGGAGATGAGGCAGCTCCTCCAGGGCGTCTCCGTGGGGTGAGGAAGCACCAAGCCCCGATGTGTGTGGGGCTGGCTGCAGCGGCGGTGCCGCGGGTGCAGGCGTCTCTGCCCCGAGCACCCACGGGGCTAACGTGGCCCCC